GAAAGAAAGAAAGAAAGAAAGAAAGAAAGAAAGAAAGAAAGAAAGAAAGAAAGAAAGAAAGAAAGAAAGAAAGAAAGAAAGAAAGAAAGAAAGAAAAAGAGAAAGTTAGTTGTTGGCCCCAGGGTCATGTTTGGGACCAGGACAATTATGAGACAGTGAGTGCATCTCCAGCTGCTTTCTGCCACACCACTGCCCTTTCAGTTCACTGAGTACATTAAAAAGGTCACCTTGCCAGAGGGTTTGACCATCACCTGAGAAATCAGGCTATTCTTTTGCCAGATATTACACTGAATAACCACTGTACTCACCCATTCCACATTTCCACAAGAAGAGCCTCCAAGACCTGCATCTCACCGCAACCAGCCATTCCTATTCTATTCGGCTGCACACGACCCGGGCCTCCGTCTTACTGCCTACCACTAGAATAGAGTACTTAGGATGAATCTTAATGTTTCCTCCTTGAGTTCAAGTTTCAAACGCTATAAACTAGATTTTATTATCTCCACTTTATTATAGCCGGTAAAAGCAAGGTTCAAATAGTGACCAGGGAACGGGAAAGCTGAGATCAAGCCCTGGAACACTCAATTTAGCCACTCACAACTGCTCTCTTCTCACAGTGGATCAGAGAGGAGGCAGGGGTTGATGGTGTTGAGAAATATCAGGAATACCATATGTGTAGGAGGGTGTTCAAAGCAAGTCATTGATTTCATATCAATCTACATATTTACTAATGTCTTGCCTATGGTATATACCAAAGTTGTCTCTATTAACCGTGGGAGCAAAAAAAGGTGTGATCCCTTTCCCATTCATAAAGTTTCACGGCCCATGCCACTATACCAAAAGACAGGTTACAAGAGAAAAATCACAACCAATTTATCTGACCATAGTTTTAAATGACACAGGAGCCTGCAGGTTGAGGACTCAAGGAGTGTGTGTGTGCTATGCCTTCTTGTGTTTAGGGTCTGATAAAGCACCGAGAGTCACCTAGAAAAATGATGGGTCAAAAGGAGTCTGCTCTAACAGTGATGGACTCAGATGGAAACCTGAAAGGTCTGCCTAGTCACACTCTTCTCTGTGCAGCATTCCTCCTTCCAGATACGGCCCGGGACCCTCCCTGGACTAGTAAGCTTATGGTCTAATCAAAGAAAGTGAACGAGGTTACCAAGGTCAGTGCTCACAGCAGAAAGGGAGGAAAATGAAGGTGACTTTAGGTTTTATGTCTGGCTTTAAAGGGCGTGGGTTCTACGACCTGCCAAGGCAAAAATGAATGCTAATCTCTATGATCTGCCTAGGGAAGGAAGATGGGAGAGCGGAGAAATTTGGCTTCTGAGGTCTCCAGTTTGTAGTCATTTTTCTGAGCCCTGACGTAGCAAATACTAGTAAGTTTACTATAAACAGTATCGCCTCTCCCTGTCCCATAGAAAACACCCTTCTCAAACCCCAGCTCTTACATGACCATACATGTAAGATCAGCACAAGGTATCCTCTGAGCCTCAGGCAGGCTCTAAGGTCAGCACATCAGTTAAACAGAAGCATGCAAGGACACTAACAGAAATCAATAAACGGATTTCCCTTCTTTGCCCACAGTTATCCCATCTACAGAAGCTACCAACAGCTTCCATTTTCCACACCAAGATCTCACCCCGTCCCCACCCCATGGAGACAGGAAGAAGTGCCAGAGAGCAGGTGTTTCCAGCAGACTTTCCCTCTCCTGTCCCCATTTCTCAAACCTAAGGCTCCAATGTAGCTGCCAATACCATCAGTGCTACCCTGTGTCTCATTTATCATCATCAACAGTAGAATAGTTTATTGGTTAGTATCCTTGTGATAACAGTTTACACACATGGTCCCTAATTCTTCCATGGAAGAGTCGTGAGGAATCTATTCTACAAATGATAAAATCAGGACTCAGAGAATTTAAGGTATTTGTCAATATAACAGATATTAAGTAGGAAAAAAAAATCAAGATTCAAAGCTACTTTTTTAGTTTCAGACCAACACATAGCACCATGCTGCAAACTGCATGGCGTATTTTTAGGATAATGAAAACCTCTTGATTTGACCTACATTTTCTGGTCTGCTGTTTCCAGCATGGGAACCGACCAGTGCTGTGCTAACTTCCTTTGAAATTACACTTTCATGCTGACTCCTACTAGGTGGGGTCTCACCATGGCACTGGTACTGACTTGAGCCTCTGAGTCTAAACGCACCAGCACAGCAGTGGCTCAAATGTTCTGGTACAGTGTGTCTACAGATGTCCCTGCCCTGTGGTAAAGTCCCAAATTACAGATCAACCTCCCTGACTCAACACAACACACACACACACACACACACACACACACACACACACACACACACACACACACACGGATGAAAATGCATTAATATTCTGGTGAGGAGAATAGGATTTCCTTTTGCAACTACAGTATTGCATCTGTCTGTCTGTCTGTCTATTCATCTGTCTGTTTATCCATCTGTCTGAATGTTCATCTGTCTGAATGTCTGTCTGTCATTTTGTCTCAGGGCATGAATGATACTGGGAGACGAAAGTATCACTGTAGAATCTTGTCAGGTCACATTTCGATGCAAATGTATTCTGTACTTTTCACATTCTTTCCCCTTACTGTGCCTTAAAAGCAAATCAGGTCAGAAGGTATCTTTCAACTTTGTCATTATATGCCTTATCTCATTTGTTTTCTTTTGTTTTTTAATGATTTAGTTCATTTTTAATCATGTATATGGGGGAGGCGGCATGTGTACATCAGTGCAAGTGCCTGTGGAGATCAAAAGAGGGCGTCAGATTGCTCTACAGCTGAGGTTACAGGCAGTGAGGCCCCCAGTGTGGGTGCAGAAGCCCAAAGCCAGGTCCTCTGCAAGAGTAATACGCACTCTTAACCAGTGAGTCATCTCTCTAGCCCAGTGGTTCTCAACCTATGGGGTCGCAGCCCCTTTGGCAAATCTCTATCTCCAAAAATAGGTACACTGTAATTCCTAACTGTAGCAAAATTACAGATATGAAGTAGCAACAGAAATTATTTTATGGTTGGGGTCACCACAACCTGAGGAACTGCATTCAGGAGGTTGAGAACCACTGCCCTAGCCCCTTACATCCCCACAAGCACAAAAATAACGACTATTTCTACAAGTATTTTTATCCTTT